GGTAAGATTCGCAACGTGGTTCCCAAAGAAACAGGCTTATAAGCTCAACGGGGTTAGCTAAGATGTATTACATTCAGGTGGGTTTACGTTATATATATCTGGCTTAACAAAGAAATGCCTATATCACTTCTAAGACTGAATGAAGCTACTATTTCTCTTTGCAGACACACAAGGCAAGTTCTAGGCATCAAATGTAAAGCATAGAATACAGTATAGCTCACACACACATGGCACATGACTCACTCCGGATTGATTCATCAAGACATCCTCTTTTGAGTGTTCAAGTTAGCTACAAACATACAACTTTAAGGCATTTTAGCAAGATTCAACCATTGAGACTAGGCGTTACCCTTTAGTGTCGATTATGTTCAGGTGTACCAACGCCAAGGGATTCTCTTACTATTTCAGCTCTTAGCCCATCGATGCTAACTAAAACAAACAAACAAAATAAACAAAAAATACCTACACCCGGTTCAAGCTAAACCCTTGGAAAAGAACCGTGTCCCAAAGAAAAACTAAGGGGGAGTTACTACACTACCTAAAAATAATAATAAAAAAATCTTTTTGGTTTTTTCTCTAGACTTACTTCCCTCAAGAAAATTGTCTAAAGGATCATTCACGAGGAAGAGTCTCCATATTCCCTTTTTTTGTTCTTTTCTCTTTTTTTTCTTGACTTAGTACCTCAAGAACCCCGTTGAAAGAGATCCGTCGTCGGGACAAGTCACTTACCTACTTTAACTTACCTACTGAGACTATTACTCAAAACACCAAAAATAATTAAAGCAAAACACAAAAAGAATTCAAACAGCCAAATTGTTACAAATATATACATACATTGAAGTATCTCCCACCCCACACTTAAAATGTATACATGTCCTCATGGCATAAAAAATTAAAGAACAGTGAGATAAAGGAACTTCCCTGAAAGATCACTCCTGATCGGAGACGGTGTCTGGGTTCATATTGCAAGCACAACCCAAAACTCTCAGCCAACCTAAGAATTTCTTCTCCGACTTCACTTGTCGGTCAGCCACCGCGTATATGCGAGCACCTAAATCAGTGACTGAGGTATGCGATCCAGCCATCTCCTACTCCAAAGCTGTCATGCGGGTACTCCGGCGGGGCTGTGAAGGGCCCGCCTCATCAACTCTTGTATGTGGTGGGATATCAGCTGCCTTAGCATCATCATCATCAGATTCATCATCCGATTCATCAACATTCACCACCGGCTCTATCCCAATTCTGATTTTTCGTGCCAGGAACGGGGCTTTCAGTGGCAATTTCCCATCAACTCTAGGGTCTTTAGGGACTCTAGCAAGACGGCACAGCCTGGTGACTAGAGAAGGGAAGTAGAAGCCTTTGAGCAACTCAGGTGATATAATGAGCATCTCGTCATGGAGGAGCTTGGCCACATCAAAATCCCTATGGGCTATGAAACAGTAGATCACTGACGCCTGTGGTAGATTGACATCGGTCGTATTGATGGAGGGAAACATCCGACTGTTTATAATGGTGAGCCAACACTTAGCCTCCCAATTGAGAGACTGGGAGTTAAGTGTGATTCTGGGCTTTATCCATATGTATTTCATGTCTGGCACACAGATAGTCTCAAGAAGAGTTGCTTATAAGGCACTTGATCGGCTAAAGGTACGATAAGCATCAACTTCCCCCCTAAACACTGGCAGCCGGTACACCTTGCGGATAGCCTCAATTGATGCATTTACCCGAGTATTGCGCACAGTAACAACCCCATTCTCATGTTCCGGGCAGTTGGCATAGAACTCCCTTACCATATGAATATTGGCCTCCTCCGGTACCTCAAAGAAGATGTCCAGCTGACACCTCCTCAACTCATTGAAGATATTCGGGCATTCCACCTCTAAAGCTTGTCGGTCAATATGCACCTTATGTAGCAATTTCTTAGCTGTATTTGCATTGTACTTGTCCTCCACTATTTGGAGACAAACCTCGTGTTGTCAAACTGTGGTGCATTGGCTTGACCCTAGCTCTGGAGGAGCTTCCCAGTCCACTAGCGGAGGACCCGGTATTGCGTCTCCTCCTAGATAGATTCATTGTACCTGTCAAACAAAGAAACGCCTATCAGTGAGTGTGAAATGTGTGACCATGGATAGTTATTCAGACTTCACCACAACCATGTCACATTATCCCTTATAACTCCATTGGGCGAATTCCCAAACACCTTGTGGGCAAAACAATTTCTTTATACACTTAGCCCATATGGATACATCAAAGGTTCCCCCAAATCAATGATTCTACTACATCACACCCCACACTTAAACTGTGCAATCACCCACAAACCTCCGCCTTTCCACCACATTATACACACAGCCCCTTCACCAATAAATCTAAAAACAAATTTCAAAAGAAAACAAGAAGAAAACTAACAACAATCTACCAAAATATTACTACACAATTACACATATTAAACTACATAACAACTAAAATAAAATACAAAATATGAGGGAAGGGATAAGAGACATATCTTGGCGGAGGAGAGAATTAGAGGAGTAAGGATGGGGGAGGTATGAGGAGTGAAGAAGAAGAAGAAGATATGAGGGATTTGGGGTGTTAGGGTTTAGAGAGAGAGGAAAATTAGAAAATAAAGAAGGGGGGCGGATGTTGATGTTTTATTNAGGAAAATTAGAAAATAAAGAAGGGGGGGGGGATGTGGGTGTTTTATTAAGGGGGTTTTTAAGAAAATATATAAAATAGAAGAGGAAGAAACGAAAGAAAAAGAAAAAATAAAGCAAACAAAATTTTGTAAATAAATATAATGGTTGATAAGTGGTAGCTTGATGCAAATGCACTTAAAGGAATGAGATGTTATAAATAAATTGTGGAAAATGTCTGGTTGACATAAGAATGATATGGAATGTTAATGTGTTTTGTATTAAAAGTGCTTAGGAAGGTTAGTCACTATATCCAAATATATCCTACTCGTCCCTTAGCCTACATTACAACCAAGTGAAGTCCTATTGATCTTAGACTGAGTGGGCTCAATTAATAGAGTAGTACATTACGGGCAAGCCTATGGTGCATCTTTGTGGCATGTGAATGTTCTTTTTGAGAGTGAGCGAATTTTGTCTATCTAAGTTCCTAATTGGTCTAAATATCATTATACGTGTAACAACTTTCTTGTGTGATGTGAGGGCATGTGATTCACGAAGGAAAGGTAAGTCTTGACTCTTGTATAGAGTAGTTAGAGTAAGTGTGAATGTTGCATAGTACGAGAGATTCGACTGTTGAGGCAATGGTTGTTCACTACTAGGTGAAACTTTGGTGAATTGTTTGAGGTGTGATTCGTTAAGGGAAAATCTTAGGGAAAGAATTTTGATAGAGTGTGGTGGATTGCTCAAGGACTAGCAATGATTTAAGTGTCGGGTGTTTATATTAGGCTATATAGATTATATTTACACCTTAATATTACCATACTTTATTGTTGATTTATAGGCGAATTGATAACGAAATGCTCTAAATGGTGTTCCTTTGCTTCGCAGGGAATAATCTAAGTAAGGAAGCACAACAGAGTGTTTTGGAGTAAATAATGTGAAGAAAACGGCCAATCAAAAAGTATCCGAGCACAAAGAATCAAAAATGGGCTGAGTGAATTCCACCTCTACCGCAGCAGATCAAGCACTCGAGGCAGAATGTTCAGCGTTCACCGCGGTCAAGCCGCGGTCTTGCCGCGACCGCGGTGAACTGTTCACGTGCCAGAAATTTGGGGACCAAAGTATAACTCGGGGAAGACTTGTCCCAAACCCTTATAAACTTTAGAAGTTCGCCCAAGATATTTTTTAAGCTTGTTTTTAGACTACTTTGGAGGCAAGAACAAGTGTGAGAAGATCAACCAAACATTAGAGTTTTTTTATCTCCTTTTATTTTTTTGCAATTACCCATTATGAATAATTTAGTAGTTTTATCTTGTTTTGTCATGAGTAGCTAATTCCCAAGTCTAGGGTTTTGATGGAACCTATTGGAGGATGAACTTCTTGTTTTGTGAATATAGTTTGCTCAGTTTAATCTCTATTTGTTCAACTATTTGCTTGTTGTAGTTAATTGATAGGATCCTCAATTAGCTGTGCCTATTTAGTGTGCATAACTCGGGAGAGAGTGCATATTTAAGTAATCGTTGAACAACACCACTCCCAAAGTATATGAGGGATCAATAATTGAGGGTTTAAAGGTGGGATTAGGGATAACGAAGCCTTGGAATGTAATCTAAAGTGAGCTGTAATAAATAAAGCTAGCTAGCGTAACTTGGCAGAGTGCGTCTAGTAAATTGTCGTGATTACTTAGGAGAGATTTACAGTAATAAGAGTGCTCATGATTGATAGAGATTATTGGGTGAACCTATGTGAAACATAAGTGGAAGGGATTCCATCAATAGGGGAAATCATAACCTTAGAATCTTCTCTTAATTGTTTACACCATAATCATAGTAGTTTTCAGTTGCTTATTTACTTTCATTCTTAGTTAGTAGAAATACACTCAATTGTTATTTACAACATTTGGGAAGTTGATTCCGTAGAATTTAGTAAGTTTAACAAAAGTAATTGATAGATTAATTTCTTGTGGGTTCGACTCTGGGCTAAATACTCAGATTATATTTGCAACATCCGCGTGTCCTTTTGGCGTGATCAAATTTTGAGAGGAAGAAAAGAAAGAAAAATAAAAAAAAAAAAAAATATACCTGGTGTCCACCGCGGTCTTACCGCGACCGCGGTGGATGAAATAGTTCGAGGCAGAATGTTTACGTTGCACTGCGATTCTACCGCGGTCCCACCACAGTCGCGGTGGGTTGGACGATGCGAGGCAGAATGTTTGCCTCTCACCACGGTCTTGCCGCGGTTCTACCATGGTTGCGGTGCTGTCTATTTTTTTTTTCAAAGTTACATACGAAAATATTAACAACAACATTCGTGGGTTGCCTCCCATGCAGCGCCTGATTTAACATCACGGCACGACGCATACAAGTGCATTTAAGGCTCGTTTGACCCCTGAGGTTCCGTCAGGTGGATCTCTGACACTTCCTTTGGCTCTTTCATGCCTATGTATAGCTTCAATCTCTGCCCATGGACTCTAAATATGTGAGAGTCTTTCTCTGAGGCAATATCTACAGCCCCTGAAGGGAATACTTCGACCACTCGAAATGGACCAGACCATCGTGACTTAAGTTTACCAGGGAACAACTGTAATCTTGAGTTATAGAGCAGTACCATGTCCCCGGGTTTGAAATGTCGCTCAACAATGTTTTGGTCATGCAACCTCTTCATTCTTTCCTTGTACAACCTCGTGCTCTCAAAGTCCAGATATCTAAACTCGTCGAGCTCATGCAATTCAGTGATTTTCGTTGTACCCGCAGCCTCATGTTTCAATGCCCACCAAGCTTTGTGTTCAAGTTTCACTGGCAAGTGGCAAGCCTTCTCGAACACCAACTTATATGGTGTCATACCAATTGGTGTTTTAAAAGCAGTTCTATAAGCCTAGAGTGCATCATCTAACTTTTTCGCCCAATCAGTTCTTGTGGCGTTTACAGTCTTGGTCAATACACTCTTTATCTCTCTATTAGACACTTCCACCTGTCCACTAGTCTGCGGATGATAAGGGGTAACCACCTTGTGGCATACATCATACTTTGCTAGCAACTTCTCGAAGGCTCTATTACATAAGTGGGTGCCTCCGTCACTGATAATCGCTCTCGGGGTCCCAAAACGGGTGAATATATTCTTCTTCAAAAATCCCACCACCACTCGTGCATCATTAGTGGGCAACACTGTAGCTTCTACCCATTTGGACACGTAATCCACAGTAACAAGTATGTACTTATTGCCAAAGGAGCTGACGAAGGGTCCCATGAAGTCAAATCCCCCAGACATCAAACACTTCCACTTCTTGAATCAGGTTCATGGGCATCTCATGGCGACGGGAAATGTTCCCGGTTCACTGACATTCGTTGCAGCCCTTCACCCATTGGTGCACATCTTTAAACACTGTTGGCCAAAAGAACCCGGCCTCTAGCACTTTCGCAGTTGTCCTGACTCCTCCAAAATGCCCTTCATACGCCGATGCATGACATGCCTGCAAAATAGAAGATTGTTCTATCTCGGGGACGCACCTACGGATCATATTGTCAACACATATTCAAAACAGGTAAGGTTCGTCCCAAAAATACATGCGGCAGTCATGATAAAACTTTTTCTTTTGTACAGAGGAAAGGTCATAGGGAACTATACCGGTGGCCAGGTAATTTGCAAAGTCTACATACCATGGCACTTCTTCAAGACTAGTAGCGAGCAACTACTCGTCTGGAAAGGTTTCCAGAATATCCTCAACCTCAACTGATTTTTCATCTCCCTCAAGTCATGATAGATGGTCAGCGACTTGGTTTTCTGTGCCCTTACGGTCACAAATTGTGAGGTCGAATTCTTGCAGTAGCAACACCCAATGAATCAGGCACGGCTTAGACTCCTTTTTCTCAATCAAGCACCTGAGAGCTGCATGATCAGTGTATACAATTACCTTTGAGCCAATCAGGTATGATCTGAATTTGTCAAAAGCAAACACCACAACCAACATCTCCTTCTCAGTCACAATGTAGTTCAACTGGGCTCCACTCAGGATTCTACTGGCATAGTAGATTGGATGTATTAGCTTATCTTTCCGCTGTCCTAGCACTGCCCCCACTGCATAGTCACTGGCATCACACATGAGTTCAAATGGTTTCTCCCAGTCGGGGGAAACAATGATGGGTGTTGTGACTAGCCTCTTTTTCAACTCCTCGAATGTTACCCTACAATCATCAGAAAACAAGAAAGGGTGATCTTTTTCTAACAACTTACAGAGAGGGTTGACAATTTTTGAGAAGTCTCTTATGAATCTCCGGTAGAAACCGGCATGCCCGAGGAAGCTCCTGACTGCCTTGACTGAAGTTGGAGGGGGAAGCTTTGCTATCACATCCACTTTAGCACGATCCACCTCAATTCCTTTACTTGACACCCGGTGCCCTAAGACTATGCCCTCTTGTACCATGAAATGACACTTCTCCTAATTAAGAACCAGGTTAGTCTCAATACACCATTTCAACACACGTGTCAGATTTATTAGGCACTCATCAAATGAGTTTACCACCACTGAGAAATCATCCATGAATACCTCCATTATGTCCTCTACCATGTCAGTGAATATGGCTATCATGCACTTTTGGAATGTGGTGGGTGCATTGCATAGGCCAAATGGCATCCTCCGAAGGCATAAATGCCATATGGCAAGTGAAAGAGGTCTTCTCTCTGTCCTCTAGTGCAATAGAGATTTGATTGTACCCTGAGTACCCATCCAAAAAACAGAAGTGTGACCTCCCTGCCAATCTGTCTAACATCTGATCAATGAAGGGGAGTGGGAAGTGGTCTTTCCGGGTGGCTACATTTAACTTTCTGTAATCCATGCAAATTCTCCATCCCGTGACAGTTCTTGTTGAAATCAGTTCATTGTTATCATTTTTGATCACCGTCATGCCACTCTTCTTAGGCACACATTGCACTAGGCTAATCCAACTGCTGTCAGAGATTGGGAAAATGATTCCCGCATCTAACCACTTTATCACTTCTTTCTTCATCACTTCCTTCATATTTGGGTTCAACCTTCTTTGGTGTTCCCTGGAAGGTTTGTGTCCCTCTTCTAGTAGAATTTTATGCATACAATAGGTGGGGATGATCCCCTTAATGTCTGCCATAGTCCACCCAATGGCAGTCTTACACTTCTTGAGTACCTGCAAGAGTTGTTGTGCCTGCACATCTAACAAACTAGATGAGATAATAACAGGTAATGTGGAGTTATGTCCAAGGAACTCATACCTGAGATGGGCGGGCACTGGCTTCAACTCCATCTTTGGTGGTTCTTCGATGGATGTCTTGGCTAGAGGAGTTTCTCTATTTTCTAAGTGCAAGGGCTCAAATTCAAGAGTTCTATCCCAGAACCCTCTGCCCTCTAACGCCAACACCCATTCTTCCAGTTCTTCTTCATTCACCTCATCTAAATTCATCAAACATGTAGCAAAAGGGTCCTCAATAGTCAGCATCTCATCATCAGTTTCTACGATTACATCCACAACATCCATAAGAGAGTAATTGGCGAATTCACTTGGTCTCCTCATAGATTTCTGCATATCGAATGTTATCTCTTCGTCGGTTAATCTCATTTTGAGCTCCCCAGTCTCACAATTAATGAGAGCTCTCCCAGTGGCCAGGAACGACCTTCCCAAAATTATGGGAATTTCTTCATCCACCTTGCAGTCTAAGATCACAAAATCTGCAGGGAACACAAATTTCCCCACCTGAATCAACACATCATCCAGGATACCAGAGGGTCTTTTTACAGTCTTGTCAGCCAGCTACAACAATATAGAGGTGGGTCTAGCTCTTCCAATCCCCAGCCTCTTATAAATTGCCAGGGGCATAAGATTTATGCTGGCCCCTAGATCACAAAGTGCCTTAGCAAAAGCAAAATTACCAATAATGCAGGGAATTGTAAAGCTCCGTAGGTCAGATAGCTTCTCTACAATTGGTCTAGTCACCACTGCACTGCAGGTCTGAGTAAGAGTCACCGTGGCCAAGTCTTGAAAATTGAATTTTTGGGACATTAAGTCCTTCATCATTTTTGCATACCTAGGTATCTCTTTCAAAGCATCTATCAATGGAATATTTACCTGGATTGTTTTAGCATCTCCAAGAATTTCTTGTATTGCTCTTCTTTTTGGTACTTAGCCAGCCTCTGAGGGAATGGTGTGGGAGGTCTCTTCTTCCTAATGATTTGGGACTGCTCTTTATCAGTTTCCACCTTAACTACTTGTTCCTGGGTTGTCTTAGCTTCTTTCTCAGTCTCAATCTGAATGTTATGTTCTTCCTGGGCCGGCTGGACTGTCACCTCTGTCAATTTCGTTGACTCATCTAGCTCAATGGGCAGGGGTATGAGTGTCTCAGCTTGCCTGCTTTCTCGAGCCCTCTCTTTCTCCACGTCTAAATCTTTTCCATTCCGTAGACACACTGCCATCAACTGCTTCGGGCCATGATCTTTTGGGTTTATTTGAGTGTCTGCAGGTAATGTCCCATGAGGACGATCGTTTAGAGACATCGAAATTTGGCCCATCTGCACTTCAATATTCTTGATAGCTGAATCATGAGCATCTATTTTTTCACTAATTTTTGTATTAGACCCAATAATTTGCTGCATCATTGCCTCAAGTCTAGCAAACCCATCTTCCTGCCTTCCACCATGCTGCTGCTGAGGAGGGTGATACCCCTGCTATTGATTTTGATTGTTATATCCCTATATGGCCTTGGGTAAGGTGCCATATTGTTAGGAGGTCTCATACCTCCCATGTTCCCATTGTTGAACTGTGGCTGGACTGACCTGTATGGCTGATTTTGCTGGCCCCAATTCTAACCACCCTGTCTCTGGCCTCCATAATTAGACACATAGTTCATGTCTTCAGGGTAGTAATGATGATCATGTTCTGCATTCCACTGGTTACCAATTGACTGACTAATGCAAGATGTGCACAAGCCCCCATTGGTAGTATCTACAATGTGTACCTGCTGCTTCTGCCCTGACTCTTCCACATTTTTGGTTAGGATACTCATCTGTGTCAATAAGGTGGCCATATTTTCAGCCATAGAGTTGGATGGATCTAAAGGCACTAAGTGCACCATTGGAGTGATAGGTGCATTCCTGGTTGTCCATCCTGAATTCTGTGCCATCTTGTCAAGCAGACTCTGGCCTTCTCTCCATGTTTTGCTAAAAAATGCTCCACTAGTTAAAGCATCAACAATGTTTTTCATGCTATCTGACAATCCCATATAAAATCACTGTCCCAATATCAGATCTGGAATACCATGGTGCGGGCATATAACCAGAATCCCTTTGAATCGTTCCCAGGTTTCATGAGTATCTCCATTGGTCTCTGTTTGAAACTCAAAATTTCATCAATTTGTTGAGCAGTCTTGTTGGGTGGGTGAAACTTGTTCACGAATTTCTTGACTAACTCCTCCCAAGTTGTTATGGAATTAATGGGGAGTGAGTTTAGCCAGGTCTGGGCAGCTTCTGTCACTGAGAACGGAAACAATAACAACTTGATTGCTTCCGGAGTTACGTTGGGTTGCCTTTGGGTTTTGCAGATTGAAAGGAAATTCATCATGTGTTGTTGAGGATCTTTGACTTGTATCCCCTAAAATAGTCCCTTGTTTTGCAACAAATGTAGCATGTTGTTCGTGATTTGGAATGATTCAGCCTGTATCTGTAGGACTAAAATCGTTGTGGCCAGATTTTTAGCTGTAGGTTGTGCCCAGTCATAGAGAACAGCCTCTGGTACAAGAGGTGCCACTGGCGCTATTGGTACAACTGGGTCTACTTCGTGATCCCTCATGTCTGGTTCAAATTGTTCATTTGTTTGTTGTTG